GGGGACCGTTAGACCCAACAATCTCAGTGTGGGCAGGACAACATCTTTCATGGGTCGTGACAGTGCACAGTCACGAGCCCATGAAGGATGTAACTTTCAATCTAAGTACATAGGTATGACGTCGACCAAGCTGACGAGGCGTTTGACCTGTCATCTTCAATCCGGTGCCCCTAGAAATCACATGAGACAAGCCCATGACATCACCCTAACAAGAGAAATGTTGAATAAAAACACTTGTATAACAGACAAAACCCAAGATGTAAGAAGATTACAAGTTCTTGAAGCAATCCACATAAAAATAGAACAAGCGACCATAAATACTCAAATTATGGAACTATTCACTCTAGCCACCATGAGAGTAGGAACAAGACCAGAACGTCAAGATGCCAACATAGAAGACACTGCTCGACAAACAGCGCCCAGCACGCTTGATTAATCTTTGTGTGTGCCCTATTTATCCTTCTGATCCTTAGCTTCTTTTCTCCTTTATGCCTTACTCTTTACCCTTACGTTTACCCAATGTATACCCATTGTTTACACCTGACCCCATTGTTCGATTCATTTGTATTCACTTGACCCACTATTAGTATAAAATAAAATGTCCTGTACTGTAACATCACTTGAGAATGAACCATGTAGGTTCGAAACGTCGTTCGATTTTATAATAAGTGTAATACATTCTTCAGTTATTCACTTTTTTTTCTTCACCTTAAAAATGAACAAGACTTTTGGTGTACTCCTCTTCCAGCTGAACCCTGATGCAACTAGTAAGAGGGACAGAAGCCTTAAATCAGAAAATAGTTAATACGGAATATGCTGTCATATTCAATGAGACATGTATAAAAGAAAACCTGCTGCCAGTATACACCAATATATTATATATATATATATATATATATATATATATATATATATATATATATATATATATATATATATATATATACATACATATATGTATGTATATATATATATACATATATGTATATATGTATATATATATATATATATATATATATATATATATATATATATATGTATATATATGTATATATATATATATATATATATATATATATATATATATATATATATATATATATATATATACATATATATAAACCATTCAAACCAAACCATTGCCAGAGAAATCCTAGTAAACAACACAGAAATCATCGACAGATACAGCGATAGCAGGCGGCTTGACGTTTGCGAGGCACTACACATCAAGAAGTCAACACCAGCAATCAACAGCCAATTAATGCACAACTATATTCTACCCACCTCAAGACTCCGCTCCAATATAGAAGCATCAAGAAATATGGACCAATAGGCTTTCTACAATCACTTGTATTCAATACCCATTGTTTCGTGTTCTGTCTTGTGTTGATGAAATTAATACCTTATTAAATACCACCTCACCCCATCCACCTCACTCAAATGTAGATATAAACAAATCAGAGATGTGTAAGTTCTATTCAGTTGTGTATGTTTACACTAAAGTCTTTGAAAATGTAATAAGTTTTACGAAACGCGCTCAAGTGTCGCGTCAGACTAGAAATAAAAATGAATTTTGGAGAATTGATTTTTGAATTACCACCAACAGTGAAAAGAAATGTACGAAAGATTGAGAAAATTCGTGTTAGAATTATTAATCTTACTTTTTCGGTCATATTTAATAATATATGTCTACAGGAAAGACATATATATATATATATATATATATATATATATATATATATATATATATATATATATATATATATATATATATATATATATATATATATTTGTCAACACGTCTGGTATTGACAACGGCTTTGATCGGCCGAAACGTTCATCTTCCTTTCCCATTTCTCTGTGGATTTTCCGCATATGTGTGTACTCACCTAGTTGTACTCACCTAGTTGTGTTTGCGGGGGTTGAGCTCTGGCTCTTTGGGTCCCGCCTCTTAACCGTCAATCAACAGGTGTACAGATTCCTGAGCCTATCGGGCTCTGTCATATCTACACTTGAAACTGTGTATGGAGTGAGCCTCCACCACATCACCCCCTAATGCATTCCATTTGTCAATGTGTGTGTGTGTATGAGTCCTTGCAATTACTTTCTCTCCAAACTCAAAAAATATGCTCACTCTAACGACCAAACGAATGAAGACAGTTTTACACTAATATGTATTCATCCCACGTCAAAGCACGAACGTGTGTGGAATTGTGCAATACACACACGAACACTTTCTTAGAGGCACATGAATAAATTCATCATGAGCCCCCCCCCCCTCTGCCCCACACATATACACAGTAATGAGGCAACTACCATCACTAGATGAAACTCAAGCTCTGGAAACCAGACAATGCATCACCACGGATGTTCAAACCAGCAGTACAGGCCTTTAGAGTTCCTTCAGGGTTTTTTCTTTAACGATTCCATTGCGAAGGGAGGTTTGCCCAGCTGCTGGAAGAAGGGAAATGTGGTACCAATATGCAAGGGGATAGGGAGGAGGCATTTAACTACAAACCAGCATCACTGACAAGCACCCCCCCCCCCCCCGCAAAGTACTCGAAAGAACAATTTACGAGAGTTAAGCATCTAGAGAGATTCAGGTATGTAAACAAACATCAACATGGCTTTATGGTTATGAAAATTCATGCCTAACCAACCTTCTGGAGTTCTATGATAAGTAGCGGAAATAAGTCTAGACAGAGAAGATTGTGTAGTTCCTGAATACCACAATGGTGTTCTAACAGGAACATGTAACAGCAGACAGTACGTGGCAGGAACATCTAACACCCCCAGCCTCTCACCGGAGGCTCACATCAACAGAATATCATCAGCTGCATGTGGAAGGTTGGCTAAATATAGGGACCGTCTTTTGAATATTAAACAGAGTTGTTTAGAATCTTGTATAATTTTTATGTGAGACTAATTCTGGAATATGCAGCATCAGCGCCCACTTCGTATCTCGTTAATAAAACAAAACAAAACTGATGAAATATCAGAGGTATGCCACCAGACTAGTCTCAGAGCTGAGAGTTTGGAGTCACGAGGAAAGAATACGGCGTTAAAGCACTCACGTCACTGGAAGAGAGAAGGAACAGAGGAGATATGATTACCACATACACTATAATAATGGGATCTGATAGAGCAGACAGGACAGACAAGGACAGGGTTAGTACACGAACAAGGGGACAAAGATGGATGGAGACTAAGTAACCAAATGAGCCACAGAGACATTAGAAACTTTTATTCAGAGCAGTGAACACTTGGAAAACGCTAAAAAGTGAAGTGGTAAAGGACTCCGTCCCCCCCCCCCACACACACACACACGCTCTGGAATATATGCCAATCGTTTAAGAGTTGAGAGAAAGGACCCAAAAGTCGTGGCTCATCCCTTGCAAATATTACTAGGTAAGTACAGTACAAAGCAACATCTAACACAACACGATACGTTGAAACACCGTCTAACACACCGCAACACGAAGCAACGCCGTCTAACACCACGGAGCACGAAGCAACGCCGTCTAACACCACGGAGCACGAAGCAACGCCGTCTAACACCACGGAGCACGAAGCAACGCCGTCTAACACCACGGAGCACGAAGCAACACCGTCTAACACCACGGAGCACGAAGCAACACCGTCCACACCACGGAGCCTCTATCACCTAACATGTGCAGCAACATAACTTGCCAGAGACTGAGACAAGGTTCAGAGGTTTACCAACAGAACCAAACACAAGGTGTGGCGGGGTAGGACCGACAAGTATGCTGCAAAACAAAACAAAAAATATATAACCTGGCAGAAAGGTAGGAAAGTTTTGACCGCGGCTAAGGGGAGGTGAGGAGGCATGCAGTGGTCTCAGGGCCAAGGTGGCCGTCAGCACACATGATGCTGCCAACATCACTTGTGTCCAAGAGTCAGGGCTCTCGGCTGGCAGGTGCCGGGTGACACATTAAGAGTCACTACAGAATGAAATGTTTGTGTGATATTTGGGGTAACTTGCCGGTGTTGTGTCTGAGTGGGTGCCGCCAGCCAAGCCTCGCCTCACCAGTCTCGCTCCATAAGTTATAATTACTTGCACACACACAACCAGTTTGGTTTCTGCCTGTGGTTCACAATTAACACCTGGGCCGAATTCCTTCCTTTATTCCTTCTACCTCTACTGTGAGGAGCATTTAATATCAATATCTCCCACACTTACTATTCCTAATTTTAGGGACAGTCAAGGCTATGGTGTTGACTTTTCAACAATCGACGTCAAATTAAGTGAAAGATTAACACTATTTCTCAAGGGTGAAGATTCAACCTGTCCACAGGCCAGGCTCGTTAAAGCGGCGGACGCTCCCCCCCCCCCCCCGAAAAAAAACGTTTTTTATTAACTTTAACATACTGTGTATTAAAAACAGGTTCGTTCTCATATATAAGTTAGTATTATTATATATTAAAATTCTATGTGTAGTTAGGTATAGCTTAGGTGTTTTGATTCTGGATTATTTGTATTTGAAGTACATTTACAGCGGTGGGATTCGAGCAGAGGCTTCAGGGAAGCACTGTTAACCCCGGCCAGAAACCACAACATAATACTGACGTTCATACAAAAGGTGACCGATATCGTGTTGAAATCTTTAGTCCAATTTTGTACATAGTAAAATGAGGACGTGGCTGGTACGTAGAACAAACCTATGGATTTTCATGTAAATAAATTTCGAAAACAATCTCGGTTTGACGAATGACAGCAATTGTCTGGACTGAGAAATGCACACGAGGAGCAGTCAACTCGATCTATGAAACACGCCTTCCAATATATGGGAATTGTTTGATGTGTGGCAGTTAATGTGGCTTCGGGAAGGGGGGGGGGAGTGATGGGAGGATTTCTGATCCCTCCCTTCCCCCCCCCCATCATAAGATAAGATGATGTGGGGAGGGAGGGGGGGGGGAGGGGGAGAAAGGGGGTTGTGGGTGGTATTGTGGGAGCGCATAGTACTGCGACCGTCAGTCTTCACCGGGAAGCTGACAGAGGCGGTTGTTCCCTGCTGCACCTCCCGCCCAACTCTCGCTACACACTCGCTCACAACTCACACTCGTGCATCACTCTCAAACTTGATTAAATATATAAACACGCCCTGAATATCTTCACATAAAAAAGCCTTGATTTACACGTCTTTTGGTATTATTTGAAAGATAAGTAAACCTTGTATGAGAGAGGAGACCATATTAGCAGGACCCTAGTCTCCTGACAGTGAAGTTCGCGCACCCAGGTGGAGGAGCAGGCACGGTGTATAAGTGACCGCTGGGGACCACTGGGCGTGTTCTCCTTCAGCGACTAACACAGGCAATAATGGCCAATAGCAACAAACTGATGGAGGCGATGCAGTCCAAGCTGAGGCTGAGGAACGTCATCATCAGAGAGTTCCTAGCAGAGTTCCTGGGCACTTTCATCCTGATCGTGAGTACCCTTACCTTCATCTTCTCCTTTCCAGATGACTCGTATCAGGCTGCGTCTGCTCTAAATACCATCATATTAACACATGAACTGGCAAGGTGTGCGCCCTTTTTTTTAATCATAAGTATCATTATTAACGTGTAATCATATTTTTTTTTCAATAAATTACATAAATATTTGCTTGCAATAAATATTTGCAAATATTAAAATATTTTTAATATTTGTTTTCATTTCATATTAGAAGTAAAGATAATGTGATTAATGGTGGGTCTCTAGTGTGTACATCTGTGGTGGGGGGGGGGGGGGGGGAGGGGTCAAGTGTGTACAACAGAATGTGCTGTGCGCGGGGGGGGGTCACTGTGTACATCTGTACTGTGCAAGAGGGTCATGTGTGTACATCTGTGTTGATAGTCATGTGTTTATATTTGTGCTCATTACCCGCTGTCGTTTTCATACATGAGTCTCAAAGTGGTGATCATCAACCTGAAATCAGCTTGACATCTTTAATAGCGCTAATAAAGGTGTTTATCCGCTGTTGGAGCTTATCGCGGTCTCTCTAAGCTGACGCCTCACCTTCCCAGGAAGCAACCCGCAACACTGGATGAACCCCCAGGTACCATTCACTGCTAAGGTGAATAGAAGAATTAGGTGTAAAAAATCGTACCCCAAAGCTTGCGAGGGAAAACCTTGTAAGATGAGAGGGAGCTGAATGATGTCAACTGTGTTAACCAAAGGTCAAGGATTATCGGGTCATATCTTAAGCAATGTTTGCCTAATTACCCTACAGTGGAGCCTAATGAGTCACCAATAGTATACTTGGACTGAATATCTATTTACCGGAACGAAGAGCAAGTCAGCACTGTTGTAAGGATTCATTAAACACCTGGACCACGTGGGAGAACAGGTGTGTGTAGAGCCAGACACCTGGCGTCCTGCCCTCTTCTACACCACGTCAACCTTCTCACTCTCTGCTACACTATGGAAGTAGCCAGTTTCCAGCTGCTCAGTTGTCCATGTTGCTGCTGCGCCGCTGATCACTTGCGTAACTGTTTGTGCGCATCTGTCTCTTAAGTACAAGTACTGAATTACTACAGCTTGTGTGTTGCGGTTGGTGTCCCGCGTGTAGAACCACTGGTTCTCCAGTAATCATTCCCTGTGTAGCTGTAATATTGGTCAGCTGAGTCCTGGCACTAATGACCCGCGTCCCTTGTGAACAACCTGCTAGGTAAACTACCCAGCCACTTACAAACAAAAGCGGCGGTGCGTTATCTCACACAACCAGCCCGTTCTCCTAAGGTTTCTCAATGTCAACAAAACGGTCAAATCATAGTGTCCTCTCCTAACTTACCAGAGGACCCAAAACAAAAAACGGGAGAGTACGTCACTTCCGCGAGCCGCTTCCATTTTACAAATTTAGGCAATTGACTCTCCAACAAGAAATATCAATCGGGAGGGAATAGGGCTGTGTGGCCCAACACCACAGAGGTTTACTCCTAGGAGCAGGACGACATTTACTTTACCTCCTAAAGTTTGAGCAAAACGACACACTACACAAGCAACAGTCCTCCTGTCGTCTGAGAAACCACTCCCCCCCCCCTCCCCTAGCGCGGTAAGAGAAGGGGGAGGAGGGAGGTAAGTGGAAAGGTATATCTGGAGGCGGGGAACCAGAAGGGAAACCGCTGGAGAACACACACAAGCCCACGAGATTGGCACAGTGGAGAAAGGTCCGACGGGCGTCAACAACACGCTCTCAAGTATAGGAAGAAGAGACTTCTCCCAGCGAGCGGCGGCCAGCCACACCACCTCCCACACAATACAGTAGTCTTAACCACTATGGTCACCAACAGCAGAGATTACAAAAGGAAAAAAATATGCGGCACCTCGGAGAGCACTATGGCCAAGAGAGAGATTTATACGTGTGTTTCAAAAGGGAAAGTTATACACCAGGATGCAAGGAGATAAATCCATGATGCTAGAAGAACATTAATAAATGATGAGTTAAACCCACGAATGTAGCGGAGACTGTAACATCAAGAACAAATTACCGATCAGAATAATTTCGATAAAACATCATATATAATGATACTAAAGGTAAATATAGAAACGCGACTGGAAGTTAAACTATGCAGCCAACACAACACACAGAGAAGGTGCTGTGGGTGTGTACCCCCCCTGTACCGCCCCCAGGGACCCCAGTACCTCCCCCAGGGACCCCCAGTACCTCCCCCAGGGACCCCCAGTACCTCCCCCAGGGACCCCCAGTACCTCCCCCAGGGACCCCCAGTACCTCCCCCAGGGACCCCCAGGGACCCCCAGTACCTCCCCCAGCGACCCCCAGTACCTCCCCCAGGGACCCCCAGTACCTCCCCCAGGGACCCCAGTACCTCCCCCAGGGACGCCCCTGTACCTTCCCCAGCGACCCCCAGTACCTCCCCCAGGGACCCCCAGTACCTCCCCCAGGGACCCCCAGTACCTCCCCCAGGGACCCCCAGTACCTCCCCCAGGGACCCCCAGTACCTCCCCCAGGGACCCCTAGGGACCCCAGTACCTCCCCCAGGTACCCCCAGTACCTCCCCCAGGGACCCCCAGTACCTCCCCCAGGGACCCCCAGTACCTCCCCCAGGGACCCCCAGGGACCCCCAGTACCTCCCCCAGCGACCCCCAGTACCTCCCCCAGGGACCCCAGTACCTCCCCCAGGGACGCCCCTGTACCTTCCCCAGCGACCCCCAGTACCTCCCCCAGGGACCCCCAGTACCTCCCCAAGGGACCCCCAGTACCTCCCCCAGGGACCCCCCTGTACCTCCCCCAGGGACCCCCAGTACCTCCCTCAGCGGCCCCCTGCACCCGTGGTCCCCAGCCAAGGCTCCATGACCAGTCTCTCGGGGTTCCTCCAGGACTTACAAAAGCTTGCGGCGGAAAAGGTATAACTTGCCACCTTTTTTGCGAGTAGAAAAATTTAAATGATTAAGGTTTTAACGTGACCAAATGATAAAACACTGAAGCACTGTGTAAGTTTTCCCTGGTTAGTGGCGTGGTAGTTATCACTGAAGCAGCGGGAGTCTTACTTACCCAGAAATTTTGTGGTGGGAGAAATTAAACCGACATTTTTCTACTTATCACAGCTCTTTTGTCAAATCAAACTGCTGACTAGTTTAAACGGCTTTTGGACTCACGAGGAAAACAGAGTAAGGTTTGGGAGGAAAAAGGTAGCTTTTATTGAGGAAGCTCAAGAAGCCAGCTGAGCTTGTTGCACAAAAAGTGAAAGTCACACTACCGTTGAATATCTAATCACGCCTGTCTGTAAAATCATAGCAGAACCAATATTACTTTATGTAAAAAGAACAAGCTGAAAGTTTAAGAGCCAAGATTTCCCCTACCTAATAATACTACCAGCAGGTGTATAGTGGACGTGTCACGAGGTACTTACTGCACAGGTTCCCTCTGAAACTCTAAGACAAAAGTAATTTCACAAAGTCGACGAGTCTACAGAAGTAATATACAAAGTATTGTATGATACTTCTGTAGGAAAAAAATAACTTAAAACTTTCTTTTTTTGCAAGAACCAAAACAAACTTACTGAGGTAGAGATGTGTGCAACCTGTTGTCTTCTTATATGATGAACTCCTTGTTCAAATATGAAAGATGGAGCTTCCATCTGTACACATTAGGGTAACCTAAACTAATGTTAGAGTCGCCTAAACTAATATTAGGGTTGCCTAAACTAATATTAGGGTTGCCTAAACTAATATTAGTCGCTTAAACTAATATTAGAGTAACCTAAACTAATATTAGAGTAACCTAAACTAATATTAGAGTAACCTAAACTAATATTAGAGTAACCTAAACTAATATTAGAGTAACCTAAACTAATATAATTTTCTAAACAACAGAATAATATTCCACAAGTAACACAATACTGGTTCGCGTTTATATCGAAACAAATTCAATATTCCAAGACATAGATGGTTTGTTGTTGCTTATATTAAACAATCAAGCGAAGATTAGTCATATACATGAATGAGTTTTGTTCGGTATATATAAGAAGGTAAAAGTGAGGAAGGCATAACAAAGGAGGTATTAATATGGTGCTAAATATATTAAGACAAAATAGGACATGAAATAATTTATATGAACTGGATAAGTTAGAGTCAGGAAAGACATGGGGGTAAATACTGGTTTGGAAAAAGCGTTGTTAATATGAGGAACAAATTTAGCAGGTATCATAACAGAGATGGCATCAGTGTTTCAAGCGCAGGTTAGACATATATATGAATGAATTTGGGTGGATATAAATAGGATCTGCCTCGTATGGGTCAATAGGCTTCCTGCGGTTTCAATTATTATGTTCTTACAAGATGACGGATCTTCGAGTGATCACAGTGATCTGAGCGGCCTCACAGATCCTTAAGAAGGTGTTGTATTTAAGACACTGTGATTGTGTGGTTATATAACGTGTTGTTTGAGTCTGCACTGAAGAAGGAAAGGTTTGGTGTATTTGGAAACTTGCGAGGTAACTCCCTCCATATATGGCAGCCCCGGAGGTGAACAAACAGTTTGCAAGTTCAGGGTGTACAAGCGACAGTACACTCTTGAGACACTTGTACACAGGTGTAAGTGACGACCCTGGCTGGTGCGGGTCGTCCACTAGTCCGGATAGTGTCCGCTTCAATCCACCTGTAGACTCCAACTTCCCCTTAACATAAGCCATATAAATTGTCTTGAAAGAGTCTTAATAATTTAGATAATAGAATGCCATCCTAATGTTTACCACCTTTCCACACGCCGCTGATGTTACCCGGTTTACGTGTGTTGGTGTCACTGCTGGAATACGATTCCTATTGTTGTCTTTCCCTTATGGTGTAAATTTCCTCTGATTTCCTATCTGTCTTTCCCATTTGAATTTCCTTACATTTGTTGGGGTTTAAATCTAACAGCCATTCGCTGACCTGTCCACAATAGTGTCAAGGTCTTCCTGTAATGTTCTACAGTCCACGACGTTGAT